AGGGGAGGGAAATGCTTCGAGAGCACTTAAAAAGTCTAGGGCCCTTGGGAGGGTATTTAATTCGGGTCCCACGCGCAGGTTTTCAAAGGTGTGCTTGGAAAACAGACCCTTCGGGGAGCTGCCAAGTGCTGCCAAGTACTCCTGCTGGTGCTGGGTTTTGTGTTTGGGGTTGTTTTTTTTTCTGGTATTTCTCCACTTTTTCACATCGCCAGCTGCTGGAAACGTGTTTATCTTAAAACACAGATGAGGATGTTTTCCTAGGAGGAGAAAAAAAAAGCCCGCAGAGACCCGGCGGGAACGCAGGGTAACAGTCGTAACCTGTTTCCCTCATTTTTTGATCTCAGGAAGGTGTCTTTTCTTTAAGATCTGGCCCCAGTGGGTGGTCACGGCTGGGCAGAAGCACCGGGGGATGCTCCGAGCCGTGCTGGGAGGAGAAACCCATCCTGGGCGGCTCTGCTGACCTCCCCTTCCTCCCTTCCAGCACGAGCAGAGGGACATCACTGGGAGGACATCGCTCCCGCTGTCCCCATCCCTCCCAAAAGCATCCCCGTACGGGGAAATGGGAGAGAAAACCTGATTTTCAGGAGCTAGGAGCTGACTCAGCCGGAGTTTGCTCTTCAAACTCATCCCACCTCTTCTTAGCCGCCGATTTTCTTTTTTTATTTTTATATTAATTTTTTTTTCTTCTTTTTCTTTGAGCAAAATAAACCAGCAGCGACTCGCAGAGGAAGCGCGGTCCCCGCCGGTGGCACGACTGCCTTTCTCGAGCCTTATCTTGAAGAAGCAGGCGGGCGGGCGGGAGCCCGGGGAGCAGTCGGCTCTACACCGAAGCTTTTTGCCTCCCCGAGTCACCCCGGTGTAATCCAGAGGCTTTTATTGCCTTGTACGACACCGTATCAGCAGCCGGCAGCTGGGCCCGGAGCCGGATAGCGATGGTAATCGCCCGCCCGAAAAAAAATCACCATCCTGGTGAGGAAGGGAGAGGAAGACGCGGCGGCGTCTCTATTAAATCGAGCTCGGCTCGGATGAAACGCTTTTCGACGCGATCCAATTAACTCCTCAATTGAATTGTAATGCTTTGGCTAATATACCCCCCCACCCTCCATCCCCCATGTATGGGAAGGGAGTTCATCCGCAGTTTAATCAGATAAAATCCCGCTTATTTGTTGCCTTTCGCGGCCGGGTTGGAAATCTCCCTAATTCCCCTGGGGGACCTGCAAATCCCTCGGGGATTGGGGTTCCCCCAGGGAAACGCTTCCATTTTGGAAGTAGAAGGGGGGCGAAAAAAAAAAACCAACCAGTTGACCCATCCATCTGTCCACCCAGAGGGTGGGTTTGGGTACCGGTGTGGCCCCAGTGAGGAGCTGGGGGCATCGGGGACTCGACATCCCCCCCCCGGCCCCATGCGGTACCCGCGTCCCGAGGAGATGGGTACGGTTGATGGAGGGAATCGGGCAAAGCAAACGAAGGCGTCGTTATCTCCTGATGGTTTCCTGAGCTTTTGTTGCAGAAAAGGGGGAAAAATGGGATTTTTTTTCCCTCTGATCCTCCTAAGCTGCCGCAGCAAATTCCTTTTTTTTTCTTTTTTTTTTTTCTCGGATATGTAAATCTGAGCTTATCCCGTCTTTGTAACAATTAAGGAATTGGGCTTAATACTCGTCCAGGGACGGGTCGTTTGTGGGGCTGGAGGGAAACGGTGGCGCAGAAGAGGCTGGTGCGCTGCCAGGGGCGCCAACGCCTCCGTGCTCACAAGTGAAACGAGTTGCCCCATCCTCAGCCTCTCTGCGGGACACATTGCGGTCCCCTCCCTGGCCGGGGACGGGGTCACACCGTGCCGTGTGGATGCAGCATCCTCTGGCACGGGCTATTTTTGGACCCGTGGGCTGCCCGCCTGCCTCCCGCAGAGGTTTATTGCTCCTTCGCCCGTCTGGAGATGAATCGATACAAGTTAATGGGATACATCAAAGCGTCTCAGAGCGATTTGTTAAGTAAATAAAAAAAAAAAAACCAACAAAACTTGGGCTAAGCAAATATGGGAAGGAGGGGGGTGGGGGCTTGTTGGGGCGGATGAAAGGCTCGAAAGGCAGGGGAAGCTTCAGAGGCTTGGAAATGATGGAGGGGAAGGGAAAAAAAAAATTAAAAAAGAAAAAATATTAAATAAATAGCGAGTGGCAGGAGTTTCAAAGCTTCCATCGTTTCAGAAGTGGATTCCCAGCCTTTCATCCCGGACCCCTGCGGGAAGGAGAGCCGCAGCCGTCTCCGGGTGGATTTGAGAAAGGAGGTGTAGGGGAAAATACGGTGAAATAGCCCTAATTCTGCCCCTGTGTGCGGAGGCAGCGCCGGGGTGATGCTGCTCTCAGGGAGCGGGAAGCGGGACGAGCGCGGGCAGAACTAGGGGTGAGTGGGTGTCTGGGCAGCATTGGGCTGGGACTAAAGTCTGGAGATGATTTTCCAACCTCTGCGGGTGATGTCTGAACCTGGAAAAGCCGTGGTTGAACCCAGCGCCCTCCGGCGCGGGCAGGGGACAGCGGCTGCCCAGCCCGGGTGAGCCAAGCGCAGCCCCGTCCATTATTGATGGAGCAGATAATTGCGCGCTTCCCACCGGCTCTTTGATGAAAAATTGATGGCACGGGATAAGGAACGGAGGGGCTCCATCGACCGACACCGGTCCCTTTGTTTCTTAACAAACACCGGAGGAGAGGTGGATGCGGGATGCGGCGGCGGG